GGGGAGGGGGAGGGGGAGGGGGAGAAGGGGTTAGATGCTGTTCTGATGCCGGGGTATCAGAGTGTGGCGCCGAAGCATGATACGTATGGGCTGCCGATTTATACGGTTGTGGTTAATCTGCTGAATTGGCCGAGTGGGGTGCTGGTTGCTGGGAAGGCGGAGAAGGGGGGTGATAAGGAGTTTGTGAAGGAGGGGGTGAATTACGAACCGCCTTGTAAGTGATCTTTGCGAATCGAGGGTATGCTTGAGGCTGACTTATTGCAGATGATGCGGATGAGTGTGAGGGGTTGCCTACGCATGTACAGGTTATGGGGAAGAGTATGATGGATGAGGAGCTGGTGGAGATTATGAAGGTTGTGGAGGCCGTGTTGAAGGAGTAGTATCTGCTTTGACATCTTTCTGCAATTACATACCGCCTTGATTGTTGGTTTGCTGGCATCCATATCATGTACAAAGAGATGCTTGCGTACAGCTGTTTGTGGCAAGCATACTGCCGTATATACGCAGCTCTCATCGCATGTTAGAATGGATAATTCATTCTTCTCATTTCTGCTCATACCTCAGATTGATTGAGTGGATTCTATTAGGCCTTTATGGCGACGCAAGGCTTATATTTTCTGTACATGATGTTAGTTCGGCATCCATGCACGTGATCCACCCATTCACTTGCTAGCGTCACCTCCCTACTATATAGACTAGGGGGTTTCTCTCTAGATAGAACATCAATATACAATCTACACTTCTCTCTGTTCTACATATTACAGAGTCACAATTCGCTCCTTACATGCTTTCTATTTCGCTCATCAACTGCCAACAATGAGAGGGAACGTCGTCAGCGACTCCAGAGCCTTTCACTCGGACTGTTGTCTGGGCTCTCACGCCTTTGTTTGAAACCATAACTCATTGCGCTCCACCAGTGACAAGCGCAACACACTCACCTCATCCGCCTTGTTGTCACCCCTGACCACACCCCAACTTGTAACCCATTCAAGATGGCCGAATCATCGGGCCCAGCTAGTTTCTTAAGCCTGCCAGCAGAGATGAAGACCAACATCTTCGCCTCCGTACGCGACAAAGCCACCAATGCAGCCGTTCGTCTCGTCAACCACGAATGGCGAGATATCATCACGCCAATGGCTTTTTCGAACCTTACGATAGCGTCGGATAATGTCACCCCAGAAATGTTGAACACACTCCTCGAGCCTGGGAACGGCGTCATACGCCACGTAAAGAGTATTTACATCGCCTGCAGTGGTACTGAGAAGCTGTACAATGCATGCGACTACTCAACGCAGATGATACTTATGACAATTATTAATGAAATTTTTAAGGGGGCATTATGCGCTCTAGCCGGGGAAGTCAATTTGTCCACAGGGATGATGTTTCATCTGCTGCAGAACCAGACGAAGATAAAGCGGCTCGATGTTCTTTTCAATTCAGGGCTTGGTACTGCCAACGTAAGCTACGCACACGGAGCTCACGAATCGTGGATATCCTCTCAACTTGCAAGTATCGAGTCGCTCACCGTGATGCCCGATGACATGGGCAGCGAACAATGCAAGGCGGCTGGACTACTCGTGCGCAGCGCTCCGAATCTCAAAGAACTCAGGATTGTGACACGTCCTGATTGCCTCAGTCTAGTGGCGTATCCTGACCGCCCAGAGGCACGACCAGACTGGGCCGTCTTTGGAGGGCCGTCTGAAAGTGGCAGTACGCCTCCTCAACTCAAGTTATCACGGGTGAGCCTGGAGCAGGTGGTCTTGGGGCGAAGGGCTGCAGCTCTAATGCAGGGCAACGTCGACTTATCCAAACTCAGATGCCTTCAGCTCGTGGATTGCGAGAGCATCGTCGATCTAATGACAGTACTTGCGCCCGTTTGCAACCTCACTGAGTTGAACATTATGATGGCTCGGAATTCTTCTCCACTAGAAGACACCATTCGAGCTGTCGAAGCACTCCTCAACTCCTTCAACAGCCTGGAAAAGCTTTGGCTCGGCATGGCAGACGGACGCATGGTCGATATATCTTGTATCGCCCGCCACACCTCCCTCCGCCAACTCGGCATAGACGGCCAGATAACAGACCGCGTACCCTTCTACCCCCCGAAGGATCTGGAAAGACTACTAAAATCACTCCCCTATCTCGAAGGTCTCGCCGTACGCTTCCCCCGCCGATCCCTCCACCCGATCCGAGATCCCAACCCACTCTCTTATCTAGTGCCAGACCGACCCGGCTCCGACATGATATTCGACCAGAAGACTTTTCTAGTAAGCAACCCTCCAAGGTCTTATCTCCCCAAAACTCTCATAGCGAGAACTGACAACGTCTTTAGACACATCGCCGCACACCCCCATCTGAAACACCTCCGCCTCCTATCCCCACCAGATATCCACTACACCCACGCCAACTTCGTTCCAGATCGTGAGCCCGACGCCGTCGGCTTTGATGCACTGGATGAGATGGTTATGCAGCACTATGCTGCACAGATGCTGTATTACCTGAGCAGTTCAGGCTCGCGAGTACAAATTCTGGGTATCTCACCAGGTGCAAGCCATATCGTGGAGAAGACGGGGCTGGAAGATGGTAATGGGCATTCTTGGCCGGAGTATTGGTATAGAATAGGAAGAGATTGTGGTGACGGCGAGAGCGGGTCAGTGGAGATGATGGCAGGGAGAGAGCCGGTGAAGGAGAGGGAAGGAGATGTGTTGGGGAAGTTGAAGGAGGTTGCTGTGCCGATGAAGATGGGACCTGGTGTGCTGGTTAACACTGTGTTTAAGCAGATGTTTGATGTTCGATGTTGATGGGGACTGGGAGGGGCGTTATTATCAAAGCTCTAGGTCCAAAAAGATCTCCTGGATACTGAGATCTTTACCGCAGACATGCGCTCAAGTAGGGCGAGTTTTAGAAGTCACAAGCATGGTTGCCGTAGACATGCTTTTGTATCTTTTGAGTTTGGCAAGACACACATGTGGTTGTTGGATACATATTCTTACTTAAGTAAAGGCCAGCGCTTCATACTCTCAAAAGTCTTCTGGATACCGACGTCTTTGCTGCAGACATGGACTCATGTGGTGTGAGTTGGAGAAGCCACAGAGTTGATTGCCGTAGACATGACTTTCTGTGCTCAAAGGTTGAGAAGTTACGATTGTGTCTGACGCACACATGCTCTCCGGCAAATAAAGACACACTTCCGTTTTTCTGGTGTAGGCGGCATGTGGAACATGGGTCGAGAGACATTATGACTTCACGATATGCTCTTCATGCGTATAGTCATCGCGCTACTTCTCAAATTCAGTTACCAATACATATGCGAGATGGAGACGTTCAATCCCAAAGTTTGAAACGAGCGACTAGAGATATCATGTAGTTTTCTAGCTCATTCTGTGTAGTGCCCATCCCGCTTCTTTGTACGTAGATGATCTGCCAGATACACAAAGAGTAAGATTGTTTTAAGGACTACATGCAAGTAACCGCTTCCTGAAACCCCAAAAATAACTTCCCAAGCCGAAGACATGCACTTTTACGGATGCCAGCACACTGCGCTCGAGATCATGTGGCAGTCTGGCTTAGCTCTTCGGACTGATGATGGTATGGGAATCGCCCACCATGTGTTCCATGCGGTGGACGGCATCCTTCATGACCGCGGCGGCAGTCTCGAGGGAGTAAGAAGACCCACCGATATCCTTTGGTCGATGTCGCATCCTCCGCGTTCACGAACATGAGGTTGCTGTCAATGCCCCATATAGCCTTGTTGACAGTGGCGTGTTTAGCAGAGAGAGAGTTATCGAAAGACCCCGCTCCTGCCTGAAGCTGTGGCATATCAGTCGCAAGGACACCCAATTCTAGCAGTGCTAGGTTCTTGACTCGAGAAGTCTGGTTGAGTTCATTGATCTCGAGGCCTGCCGTAGCCCATAGAAGGCAAGTTGACAAAGCGAGCTGCTTCGCGAACGGTTGCTCGTTGTTCTGACCAAATATCGCCGGACCCAATCGGTTCACGGAGCCGATGAACATTCGCAGACAGGCGTTCCAGAAGTGGCTGAAGAAGCCAGCATTCTCGGCATCGCTGGCGCGTCCAGCTTCTTCCAAGAACACTGCGTGAGATTGATGGATGACATTGAAGCTTGGGGTCGTGGTGACAGACGCGGTTGTACACATCACCGCTGCCTTCCCAATCAGTGCGCGAAGTCCAAGCTTCGCTGCGGCTTTGACTGAGTTGACAAGGAGCAAGATACTTTTGGGGACTACGAGCAACCCGCCGCTTACAGATATTTTGACACAGCTCATCAAGACGAAGACATGCGGTTTTGCGGATACCAGCACGTTGCGCCTGAGATCATGTAGCAGTCTGGCTGAGCTATCCTGCTCGAGGAATGGAAGTTGCGAGCAAATATCCAGAGTGATCGAAGCTGCCTTTGGCATTCCTGATTGTCCATTCGCCCTTGATGTCTTCGATCGAAGTGCCCCCTTCAAGTACCAACTTCACGTCATCGTACGTGAGCGAAGGTGTTTGTTCCTTGGGCCACTCTTCTACATTGTTGGCGGCCAGTATGTCTCCCAAGCGACAATTGAGGGCGGCTTGTACGACGATAGCTAAGGTGAACAACACAGCAGTATCCCAGGAAGGTAAGTGGCCGTCGAGAGCATGCTGGATCATGCCTCGCGACATCCGACGGACGAAGTACACTCCTAGAGCCTGATCGCGGGAGACGCACTCTTGTTTGGATGCATAGCCGTCGTTGAGCGTCCGTTCGATAGCACCTTTTGCTCGCATTTCTTGACGTGTGGTGAGCTTGAAGTCGTTCCATCTGAAGCTGGCTCGCTGTGTGACGGCTGTCATCACTTCTTTAAGTGTGTTGTACGACCATTTCACTCGCGGCTTCGAATCGATGGGCGCTTCTTCAACGATGTCGCCTTGTTCGTTGGCCTCTTCGTCGTCACTGTCCGTGCAGGCTGGCTTCGGCTGGTATCGGCGAAAGTAATATAGTATGAATTGCTCGAGCTCGTTCAAAACGAAGACCTTGGAGTTACTGATATAATTGTTAGCACAGCCCACAAATAAAACCATTGGTAGAATGAAACCTACTTATGCCCTAGAATGTCCTTCCTGAACTCGTCAAACCTTGTACCCCATGTCGAGACGAAGCGTCGTCGAGTGTACGATCCAGGCTGAACAATAAAGCTGCTCAGGTTTCGCAGCTGCTCCGCCCATTGGGTATTTGTAAGCCCGTTGGAATCGTGACGTTCATGGGGTGTGTGGCCGAGATGGTCGAACTCTTCGAAGAAACCGTCGTCACTGTTGTTGTTGTCGTCGTCCACACCTGTGGCGAGCATGAAGTCGTGATTGGTCCCATCCGATGTCTCGAGTGCTTGTAACTCTCTGAAGGCGGCCATTGTGACAGCTACAACGGGGAGGTGGATAACAGGAGTTGAGGGGAGTGAAGGAGGTAACGGAGGTGAAGGAGGATGGAGAAGGATAGAGGAGGATGGAGGATGAGAGGTATGGCGAGCTGATAGTGGATTTTGAATGACCACCACCTCGTCTGTCGTGCAGTAGGGGCGAAGCAGTACCGAGGAAAGGGGATTCGAACTCCGTTCCCGTTGGGCGTTGTGCCTGCGTAGCTTCCCTGTAAAAGCTTGTGCTTGCTTCTTACTCGTGGTGTACGCTTTCCGATACCATAGAGCGGAAGTTGCACTCTAGCAGAGATGCACAGTTGTGTATACATAAGAAGGCAGTCTCACCCCGGTGCTTGTTGGTCGTAGCGCGTGGCTGTTATCGTGGTAGAAGGTGAGGGTTGATGGAAATCGCAAAACTGTGGTTTGGCGAGTGATATGTTGTTCCTATGACCAGTCTCGCAGACTATAATAGCGTTGAAAGAGGTATTTTCGGCATATCAATCCAATCGAAAGAAGAGTGTGGTTTGATGGGGATGTTTGGTTTCAGGTGCCTCGATGGGCTGCGCTCGCATGGTGGCGCGATAGCTTGTCGAGCGTGTGCGAGAAGACGATTCTGAGACGGTCGCGCAAGGCAGCAGGTCGCTACCAAGTACTCACACTCTCAGATGTATTTTTCTCGCACTCGCTTTTGGGTGACGATCAGTGGCGAGGATAGTCAGAAAGTTGGAGGGGTGTTGGTTGGGTTCAATGCCTCAAAGGGCTGCGCTCGCATGGTGGCGCGAAAGCTTGTCGGGCTTGTGCGAGAAGACGATTCTGAGAGGGTCGCGCAAGGAAGCAGGTCGCTACCAAGTACTCACACTCTCAGATGTCTTTCTCGCAGTCGCCATTGTTGGAGGGGAGGGGCGGGTGGTGGTGAGGTGGTGGTGCGGATTGGGTTGTTATAGCGCCGACGTCTTTTTATTTAGGCAGCAGCGCAAGTCGCGGTGACTCACGTTCTGTTAGTGCAAGGTGAGTGACCGTATAAACAAGGTGACGTCAGTGTATGTCGGCAAAGTTGAAGGTGAAGCCGCCTTCACCCGCTTGTCTAGATAGCTTGAGCAAATTGGCCTGGCAATCGTTGAGAACAATGCTGTTGCCTTCCCCGATACCGGAGACGCGACATGCTGTGACAATATGTCCCAGAAGTGAATTTTATACATCGTCCATGGATACTAAGACCGGTACCAGAGCGGGACATGGCGGGAGCGCGTGCGAAACTGATCACTGCCACGATAGTCTGCAGAACGATAGCAATGCGATATTTGACTGCAGTCCAGGGAAGACGTACGGTGATGGACACTTGGGAAACAGAGTCGGAACAACGTCATGATGGGCAAGTCTCAGTACAGAACCCAGTGATACCAGAACAGTATCGCTCGATCGTGGACGGTTTTGAAGTACATATCAACTCCACAATATTGCTTGTATGTATGTGAAACCACACACTATACATATTGCGTTGTTTCCATGAGTCGAAGACCTTCTTCGATAGCATGCTATGATGACAAGCGATGTGTGACCAATCCGGGCTATAATTGCTATAGATACGATACAAACAGATCTGTATATTTGTGGTATAACAGACTCTCATGCTCATGCAAGTGGAGCGTTGTATATAAGGGGCTATAGTCCTACACCCATCGAGACGCCGTGCCCTTCAAGAAGATCCTCCGTTATGATCGAGTGACAAGGCCGTGGGTCTGGATCAGATAGGTGTCGTACTCTGATGGACTGCTGAACTTGTGGGTCGTAGTGCATCCTTCTAGGTAGCAGGAGTGAACGGTTGGCTTCTCCCACCTTGAGTACAGTAGGCTGATTGACTCTGTGCTCTTCCTGCGGATGAATACGGTATCAGACGTGTGCTTTGTGGCGGGTTTCGCACCCCTCGAATCGGCATGTGATAATCGTGTCGCGGTCGTACAAGGCCATGGCGTATTCAAGATGATCTTCTTTCATGTGCTTGTCGATATGGATAAACGATGCGAAGTCGGTGCGTGGGCAGCCGTCAATTGGGCACGCGGCGGGACAACACTCGGTGTGCTTGGTGACGACATGCTCTTACAAAGCCTTCTTGTTTTTACAGGACTTGTCTCCTGTCTTGTTACATTTTGGCAGAGTACAAACTGGTTTGGAACCTGTCTTGGGTACTGGCTCCGGTTCGTCGTCTTCTGGAATTGTCGGAGAGCCTCGGACAAGAATGGCAGTATCCAGTACAGCCATGCCGAAGCGCTCACGTACATGTTGAGTTGATAGATGGCGCGAGCATTGGCCGATTACAGATCGTACTTGTCGACTAAGTGCAGTGCGTATGGTGCGCCTGCGACCGCAGCAGGCTTCAACTATATGGTCTCCTTCATATGCCAGCTTGACGGCGAAGTATGAGCAAATGGGTTTGGTCTCGCAACCATTCTTCTATGCTGCAGCTGACAACACATCTGATAGATGCTTACTGTGCTGAAACCGAGCCATGTATACGCCTAGGGATTCGATGATACTCCTCAAGATCAATGAATGATGACTTGTATGCTGCAAGAGACGATGAGCTAGGCTTGAGATGGACGGGAGTATATTTGTATGTTGTAAATTTGTATATAACGGCCAAGATACTACCAGCAAGCATGATTTGCACAGTAGGAGCGTGCAGAAGGGAGCTAGAGTGACTTCGAGAAAACAGGCTGTTCATGGAAGACCGATGGTAGCTCATTCCACCTCCTTCTAACACGGTATGACAAGACGCAATGACGCAAGTGTTCTCGCGGTGATAAAACTTGAAGTACCGCCGAGTTCAACATTCTTCATGAACGCGATACTGGTTTGGCATTCCGATGACTGGCGAAGTCTTTGTGATGTCCCGATGTGATCGGATGACTTGAGACGGCTGCCGTCGGAGGGGTACTGAAGAGCGTCAGACAGCGACAATCGACACCGACATACGGTGTCAGCCAGCATCACGAAGCTCCTGCAACACCAACGTCACGCATCCAGCCATGGCAGCCTTGGAAAGGCATCTCGGCAGCCCTAGAAGCCAGGCGAGGCTTCGCGAACCACGGCCCTTGTGCCAATAGCGGGCAGCGCGATGGAAAATTCGCCGCCTGGAGTTTCGGGCCCCACGTTCTTTGAGGCCCTCGCCGCTAGTTGTTGGCCCGAGCCAGGTTCCGTCCCCGAGATTACCCGACCTAAAAATGGCGGACCCTGACAATGGTGGCTCGCAGAAAGGAGAGGGTGGGAGACTTGGGCTGGAAGAGGCATGTGAACACTTGTACATCCCCACAGTGGATTTTCCATGTTGAATTGACGGCTGCGGGCTGCCTTTAGACGCAGTTTCGTCAAGCCATAGGCATTGTGTGGCTGCTACGGCAACGCTTGTGGGGGTTCCGTTGGGATCAAGAGGCAGAGTATCGTGAATTGGATGCAGAGCACGACGTCGATACATGGCGATTGGAACGTACGAGAGGTCAATTGCAATGCGACGGCCATCGTGAGGACTTTTTCTCATTCACCATTGTCCCAACCCGCGTTTCCGAGGTGTTGATGAGGGTGCGCTCGGGATAGCGGGCAAGGCCACTAGCACGTGATTGGCTTAGTGCGAATTAGCGCTGCTGGCAGAATTTGTCGCAGCTTCGCTACAAATACACCGTTCTTCCCTCAACGCAGCACCAGCATCTGCAACCTCACCTTTTTCAACCAATCTCCCCTCCATACATCATCCAAGATGTCGGGCGCACAGCAGGGTGTGTATTACATCTACGAATTGCACGAGACGACGCTGACTAGATTGCAGACAAGTCCCTTTTCGGGATGCCAGGTTTCGTGGTGGACTTCTTGAGTACGTTTATCTCCATCGACAGGTCCATCAATCCGTCTGCCATTGGCAATTGGATGTGATGCGAGCGTTGTCGGCCAAGTTTTGCACTCGCAACAGCCACTAACAGCTTATCAGTGGGTGGTGTTTCCGCCGCCGTCTCGAAGACCGCTGCTGCCCCCATCGAGCGTGTTAAGCTCCTCATCCAGAACCAGGTAAGCATTATCAGAACCTCGACCCCTGCATGTCGACAATTGCTGACCCACCCCGCAGGATGAGATGCTTAAGTCCGGTCGTCTCGACCGCAAGTACGATGGCATTGGCGAGTGCTTCAGCCGTACCGCTAAGAACGAGGGTGTCCTCTCCCTCTGGCGTGGTAACACTGCCAACGTCATCCGTTACTTCCCCACCCAGGCGCTCAACTTCGCTTTCCGCGACACCTACAAGTCCATGTTCGCCTACAAGAAGGAGCGTGACGGTTACGCCAAGTGGATGGCCGGTAACTTGGCCTCCGGTGGTGTAAGTACATCTGTTCAATGGCTAGCAAATCATGATCTAACAACAATAGGCTGCCGGTGCCACTTCCCTCCTCTTCGTCTACTCCCTCGACTACGCCCGTACCCGTCTCGCCAACGACGCCAAGTCGGCCAAGAAGGGTGGTGAGCGCCAGTTCAACGGTCTCGTAGACGTCTACAAGAAGACCCTCGCCTCCGACGGTATCGGCGGTCTCTACCGTGGTTTCATGCCCTCCGTTGCTGGTATCGTTGTCTACCGTGGTCTGTACTTCGGTATGTACGACTCGATCAAGCCCGTCCTCCTCACCGGTTCCCTCGAGGGTAACTTCTTGGCCTCTTTCGCTCTTGGTTGGGCCGTCACCACTGGTGCCGGTATCGCCTCCTACCCCCTTGACACCATCCGTCGCCGCATGATGATGACCTCTGGTGAGGCCGTCAAGTACAAGGGTACCATGGACGCCGCTCGCCAGATCGTTGCCGCCGAGGGTGTCAAGTCTCTCTTCAAGGGTGCTGGTGCCAACATTCTCCGTGGTGTTGCCGGTGCCGGTGTCCTGTCCATCTACGACCAGGCCCAGCTCATCCTCTTCGGCAAGAAGTTCAAGGGTGGATCTGGTTAAGCGCCTTTCTTCCCTCTACGATAC